ATCCATGAGATTACTAACTCCATAGTGGTCTTAAACCATAACTGGATATTCGGGGAGGATGGTACGGATTGAGTCATGAACCCAATGCCGTCTGTATTGGTCTCTACTCGATTCTTATAGCGACATGTAATAATTGCAACCCAAAAGACATACAAACAAGATTCAATTCCCTCCGAACTAACTAATCTAAGTTGGTTGAATATTTAATGCACACATAAGTTTAATTATTGTGATCATTTGAATTAAGCAACAAGATTATTAGGAACCTAAACCGGTTGTCTAAATTTTCTTATTAGGCGTGATTTTCAATTACATATTCCCAATTAAACATATAGGTGATCAAAGCAAATAGAATAAATCATATAAAATAAATTAGCATGCATAAAAATATTGGAAACAACTCGATAATAATTAAAGGAACGAATTAATCGCATCCAAAACATGATACTTAATAATTATTAAAAAAATCTTATGCATGATACTAACAAGATTAATATAACGCCTAGACATGATACTAATAATTAATACTTTCTCTGTTTTTTATTAGTTGACACATTTCATTTAGGAACGTTTGCCAACACAACTTTTAAATGTAAATATCTTTAATTACGTATTAGCAAAAAATATAAACTTTGATATTCGGAAACTAGACATTGAGACAAAATTAACAAGATCCCGCATGACAATGTTTTAATCTATCACTGAATCACAAAACAAAGTCAAAGTAATTTATGTGAATAGTGTACAAAGTCAAAATGTGTCAACTAAAAAAACAGAGATAGTAATAAAATCCCTAAACATGATGCTAGCAAGAATAAATATTGTAGAATTAATTGAACAAAGGAATAATTAAATCTACTTATTTCGATTGCGAAACCTTGCAACTACATCATGAATAAAAGGTTAGTAAACTTCAATAAAATAATTAAATCGAAATAAACTAAATTAAATTAAGTTTATAGATTGAAACCCTCAGGGTTTATGATCAACCTTTTACGTTGTGGCCCGCTGATAGAGGTTTGGGTGAAGTGTTGATGTCTAGGAGCACTTGAAGGAGGAATTTTGAAAGGTTTAGAAGGAAGAAAGATAAGAGAATAAGAGTATTAGGGAGAATAAGAGCATAAAACGGTCTGTGTAACCCCCGAAAGGCTACGATATACTTCCTTTGTTTTTTTTTAGTTGACACCTTTCTATTATCACGTTTTCCAACACATGTTTTAAACGCTTAATATCTCTAATCAACATTGTAAAATTATAAAAAGTGGATATTAATAAAATATACATTGAGACGATTCAAACAAGATCCTACATGACTATACTTTATTGTATCTATAAATCACAAAAGCGAGTCAAAGTGTAGTGTATGAATAGTGTAAAAGTCAAACGGTGTCAACTAAAAAAAATGAAGGAAGTATATAGAAAAAAAGACAAAAAAAAAGATAGGATTTATGGAAAAGCTAGCGCATCAAAAAAGAACTATCACGACGCGGTAAAATTTTTGCGCCGCGGCGGCAAAAACGTCGCCACACAGCAAAGCCGGCGCGCCACGTGGCAGTCTGTTGTGTCGCGGCAATTTTGGAGCGTGGTGCCGGATTCCAATTTTTTGTGATTTTTGTTTTTATCATAACTTTTGATCCCAAACTCGGATAAAGGCCCACAAATAATATATCGTTAGAAAGTTCTAGAAGTCAACTTGCCAAACCAATTAGAATCAGGTCAATATCTTTTCTAGATAAAAAGATATGGTCAAATAGTTCAAGGGTGTCGGTTTTGGATAGAGTTTGGTATTTCGATCATATCTTTTTCGTTATAACTTGGAATTGAGCTTATGATATATCATTGAAAAGATTATTTTAAGTGCTATCCAACTATATAAGATTTGGATTAAAATTATGAAGCATAAAAAATCATATTTGCTCAATTTCGAGACTGCGGTTATGAAAAGATGAAAATGGGCTAAGATATGTGGATTTGGGGAGCGATTTCCAAAATGATGTAATAATATAAACTATTTCCTTATATACATTGGTTTAAAAACTATTTTCCATAATACAGTGCATACAGGCTCGATTTTAAGGTTTGGTATTTGCAAGTATAAAACCGCTAACATTGTTGGCGGTTTTAACTAATATGAAACCTCTAATGGTATTTTGGAGGTTTCATTAATGTTATTAGGGGTCTTAATCATAAAAACTCTAATGGTATTAGCGGTTTTTTATATAAAACCTGCAGTTATAAAGAACTACTAATACCAATAACAATTCTATATAATTTGGTTTTACCATTAGTGGTATTATATAATCTAGTAGAAGTGAAAGCTAAAGTAAATGAGGTAGCTTTAACTTAGAACCGCTAATGAGGTTAGAGGTTCTTGAAAGGAATGGTGTCCTTCCAACAAGTGTATTATTCCGATAGAGGGTTCAGAATTATTACAGAGGTAATTCTTCAGTAAGGTCAAGTGATCGGAATGCCTAGGTGGAGGCCGCTTCCGATCAGTAATATCAAGGTACAATTGATATTACAGCTTAATCTTAACTGAACCCTTCGGGTCGAACCCAATCGAATCTCCGATCTGAGACGTCGAATTAATCCGAAAGGATTTAATGAGTCGACAGAGTTTTACGAATACAGACGTCGGAAGTCGAGCCTAGGGCGTCGAGACCGAGCGTCGCAAAATCACAATCGACAAGCATGAGCGTAGCCATAGCTAGGCTAGGCTAGCTCATCATAGTCACTAGGCGCGCCATGGCAGCCTTAGCATGATGGCTAGGCACCATGGCTGGCTGTCGCTAGCACCTGGCGCGCTAGCACAGCCCTAGCATCATGCCTAGGCGCTGTCACAGCCCTAGCATGATGCTAGGCACCGTCGCAAGCCAGCAGCCCATCGTAGGGCCTATACGCATCACTAGGCGCACCATGCGTGGCCTAGGATGGCTGGGCGCCATCGCAACCCAGACAACATCACTAGGCACACCATGCGTGCCCTAGGATGGCCTAATGCCATAGCAGCCCTAGCATAGTGTTGGGCGCATGGCAGGACCACACGCACCAAGCATAGCTAGTGCTAGGCACTGGCGCATACGTGGTGCGTGGTGGCTGGGCGAGGCATGTGCGTGCATAGTGCGCAGTGCCAAGGCTGATGCGTGAGGGAGTGCGAGAGTGTGTGCGAGGGGCTGGGAAGCTAGCAAGCAACGTCAAGCCAAGCATGCGTGGCTCGCTAGCAGCACGCATGCTAGGCATTGTGTGCGAGAGAGATGCGTGGTGCGTATGGTGTAGGAGTGCAGTGCGTGGCAAGAGGCCAGCATGCGTGGCTCGCTAGCAGCACGCATGCTTGGCCATGCGAGTAGCGAGGATGCGAGGGATGCTGGCAGCAGCGCTAGCACGCGCCAGCGCCAGCACCAGCACGCACCAGCCAGCACCAGCGCCAGCACGCACCAGCGAACATCAGCGATGCTGCTGGGCTTGTGCTAGCATGCTAGGCTAGCTGGCACAGCCAGCTGGCACGCTAGCTGGCAGCTGGGCAGCATGCTAGGGTGAGGCGGTTTATGAGGAGAGTGGGGACCAAGGCTTTGGGAAAGCCTTGGGGAGCAAGGGATTGGTCCCCCCCACCTCTCCATGGTCCTCACCTAACACTCTCTCCCTCCTTGACACTTGTCGAATTGTGATTGCATTTGTTTATTGATTTATTTTAGAAATAAATTAATTAGCAAAATTCATTCTCCCACATTGGTGAAGGATGAAATATCAAGGGGTCATTTCCCTATAAATACCAAGCTTGGTATTGGGATTTGACACAACCTTGAGTGGAATTAAAAAGGCAACTCTAGAAAAGAGTAAACCTTTGATTCGTAAAACTCATAGTTATTTTGTCCGGGTCTTGACTAACCTTCAAGACTTAGGACGCTCGGGTCGGGTCGAGGGTACGATCCGTCGGAGATCTCGTCTTTTCGAGATTTTGAAGTAAGAGCTCCTTGGGAGCGAAGCACGCGTCAAAGGTATAATTCTTATCCTTAATCTTGTTTGATTAAGTTTATTATGCTTGTTTAATTGCTTTAATTAAGGGGCGGGTCTTGGTGGGTTTCCTTCCGCGTAGTGTCGGGTCACTACGAAACCCTACAGTTCTACGCATAGAACCTCTAATACCATTAGAGGTTCTATGTATAGAATCGCCAACATTGTTAGCGGTTTTATACTGCCAAAATCCAAACCTAGGAACCGATCTTACGTGGATGGTATTGTGAAAAATTGTTTTTTAAACCGACTTATGTAAGGAATTAATTTGTATTTTAGCATTATTTAGGGAAATCGCTCGGATTTTGGGCTAAAAAAAGTGTTTGGGCTATTGAAATGGGTATAATGGTACGGTTCATGAAATGATAGAAGATGGAAATGGCATGGATTTCTAAGCAAGAATCAAGTGTTCATTCGTTTCAATACTCTACCCAACCAAATGTCAATGAAAGGTTTTACTCATCATTGGGTTTCGATCGGGGAGAGTTTTTTAAGTGTCTACAGTTAGTAATCTAATGGGGTCATATTCGGCTCTAATTAATCGGGTCATAGGTTGAAATGAGTCAGTGTAAACAGATTATCTTTGTGTAGAAATAGTTTCGTGTTTAACCGGGTTGGATCACTTAAAACAATTTCTATTTAGTTTCGAGTCAATTTGATACTCCCTCCATGTTTAAATAAATGAAACGTTTTTCTTTTCCGGACAATTCTATTCCATAGATAATTTCGGTTTAAGTCTGTTTTTTGTTTCAAAAAGTCAGGTTTCAAGTGATTGATTTCTGCTGACCAAGTCGGCATAAGACAATTATTGATAATGCTGAATCAATCCCCCAGCCTTTTTTGGTCAATTCAAATTCATCAATGGGAACATTTTAAGCTGACCAAACACCAAAGTACTAAATAGTAACTTGAGGTTTATAAAATTAAACACACGCAATTGATATTATGTATTACATATGAACCATAAACTTAAAATATTAAAAAAAGAATGGGCAAATAATAATGAAATAACTCTTAGTACTATTAATGATGATCTGGAGTGGTTGGACTCTGAAATATCTGAAATATATATATCATCTACTATTTATATCATCTACTATAGTCAAATATATTATCACCCGAAGAAATTTGCATTATTATCTTCTCTCCTTGTTCACACTTTTCAATAATTCTGCTAAATTTCTTTGAATTTGGTAATTTTGGTTATCAAATAAACGGAAATAAGAGGGGAAAATGAGAAGTTGCTTCCCCTGTTTCTCATCACAGAGTGTTTCAGATGATGAATGCATTTCAAGTAAGTTCCTTAATTTGTTTCTTTGTTTTTGTTTGAATAAATGCAATTTACAATTTGCAATTTGAATTTAGTATAATACTAATCAATCTGCAATTTGAATGTTTTCCGTTTATTCATGAATCATGATGGTTGTCGAATTCCTAACGGTTACAAATTACTCCTTCTGTTCCTTATTATTTGTTGGGTTCGATTTTTTTTTTTTTTTTTTTGGTGGGAGAAACATGGTCAAAATTAGTGAATTTTTCTTGGAATAAAGGATGTAAATAAATGGTATTTTGGAAAGTTTGAGAAAAATTAGTGAAAAAGGTTGTTAGAGGGTTTTGATATGAACATAAGATTTTTCAAGATTTTTTATTAGAGAATCTTTACATGATATTTGTGAGAGGATGTTAAAGATATTTGGCAAATAAGCTTAATTTAATTACAAGTTCAGCAAGCTTATGCCTACTTTTTTGGTTCATTTTGAGTTACTTTTATTTCATTCCTGGTCAATTATTTCATGCACTCGAGACTACCTGAGTGGATTCTTTCAATTTCAGCGCGTGCACATCTCTTTATATTTTGGGGCTAGTCCCTCATTTGCATAAAAAAAAAAATCTCATCCTTTACATTTGTGTTTTGGAGAAAATCCATGAATGATGAATTAGTGTTCCAAACAGAAGCTATCTTAATCGTGATGCAGACTAATCTGTTGCGTGACTTTGTGACTTTTATTATTTTATTTATATAGACAAATTAGGTTAAATCCCGTGCAATAGATGCACGGTTATTAACAAATTATAATGAAAACCAAATTATAAAAACGCTATATAAAAAAATATAAGGACTCGACACACCAATTATTCAAATATGAAGTATATAACCACATATAATAGTTATAATGAACAATTAAAATTTTAGAAAGCTAGATTTTATGTAAAGCAAATGTCATTATTTGATATAGATACAATTGTTCATTATGGCAATTTTTTTTTTTTATTTTTTTTTTTAGCAAATACTTGTGGAGGGAAAATTTAACATAATGTTGCCAAGTGTCCCTTTTATTCGCCTTTTGTATTATGTAATAGATATATACGCAAGCTTTCCTAAAAATAAAAAAAAAAATACATTTATATACATATATATACGCAAGCAGGTTTGAGGTTAACTTGCTTCTGTAACAAAATCAACCGTTGACATATCTGCTCCTGTTGCACTTGTACTTGTGCTGCACCAGGGAGAAAAGATTAGGGACTTGATTAATTATTATTGCGATTGAATTTCAATAAAACTAATGGTATTTTAAAGATGCAAGCGACCTTTGTTAGGTTCTTAAGCCTAAGCTACATGTTTCCGGTATTGTAACTTGAAAGATAGGAAAATTAGAGCCGCTAGCCAGTAATCGAGCTAAGTCTTGAGGGTGTTTAATTGAATGCAGTGAATTAGTATTTAACTTAGAAACTAAGTGAAAGATGAAACAATGTGAAGATGCAGGGCTAGATTGGTCATAGACTCGTACAAGGAAACACTCAACTGGCAGGAATTGGCTACACCAAAACATTTTTTAATTGATTGAATGATGACCGAATTCTGCTTGACATTAAGGTTGTTATCTTTGTTCAGTTTGATAGATGTTGTTATTGAACTTTTATGAGGAGATTAAACATGGCCTTCGCTGAAATGGAGGGAATTTTTCAATGGGGCCTGTAGAAAGAACCCCTTCAGCCTGTAATACAATTCAATACGGTAGGAAGTTCCATTGAATGAACCACTACGGTAACTGATACATCATACTCTTTGTTTTCTGATATGGACAATATCAACATGAGCAGTAATAGATTCTATAGTGGGCTTGGCTTTCTATTATGAGTATGTAGATGATATCTTGGAAATTATTGACTGGAAATCTATGAATGATCAGATGAAGAATTAACACATCGAAAACTGCATTACTTTCTTGGCATTGAGCATTTATATGAACATGAGAGTGATTACAGCATTATGAAGTGATTTTACTTTAATTTGATATGTAGTATGATGCAGCAACTGTTGCTAACTATAGTCCAAAAGATTATAGCATTAAACTCACAGTACGTAGAAGTGTCTGATTTGCATTCATACTCAATATTCTATCTCACTATGTCTCAAATTCAAGCTGATTTGGTTAGATTTATGTATGGTAATCATTCTTAGGGTGTGTTCATGATTAATCTCTGTAGATTTCCTTTTTTTTTTTTTTTTTTTTTTTTTTGGGGGGGGGGGGGGGGTGAGAAAAGGCAAAAAATTTATTAATCGCCAAAAAAAAAAAAAAAAAAAAGAAAAGGAAAAAAGAAGAAAGAAACACACCTAGGCAAATGGATTTTCCAAGCCATATCTCTGTCTCCAACTTTACAAGAAGCAATACTACTTATCCTATGACATACATCCAAACACATTCTGCTAACTACCAACTCAGGCGTCTAAATTCTAGCTTCCTATACAGCTTCATTTCATTGCTGCCAAATATTTTAAACAAGAGCAGTGCATAAACTCTGCAAAAGAAACTTCTGAAATCTATTCTTAGCAGACTAACACCACTTGTTACAAGCTACCAAATCCTGGAACTGCATAGGGACTGCAACTCTTTCCTGCATCAGCTTAATTATTTTCTGACTGTACATGCTACCAAAGAATAAATGCAATCAAAGGACATCGATCTTCCTCAATCACCCCAAACTGTTTCAATTTCCTTCTAGTTGTAATTCTCCCCCAAAAAATTATCCAAGCTATAAATCTATGGTTAGGAACATTAAATCTGTTCCAAATCCAACAACACCAGGGAACCTCAGGGTGTGAAATTTGCAGCCATTTAAATTATTAGCACTAGCAACAGTGTACCCTTTAGGATTGTGCTTTCAAGTTAGACCTAAAAACCCTGAGGGACTATGACTTGAGAGCTTTATCTTGCAGCAAGAGGTTTATGAGTGGCCTTTTCATTCTTTTCGGGTAGAAGTTATTTTCTTTGTAATCAGTTACGTAGAAGGTTAATAGTGTTTTATGAGGAATATCATTAAGAATTGGTGTGGCATTGAGGATTGTTTCATGAGTTCACTTTTCCTTGTAAAGTGAGATAGCCAAGCAAGTGAGGCAATCATTCATATTGCATAGATTCATATATTTAACAAATACATATAACCTGATTGTGAATAATTAGCGAGTAGCTGTGATAGGGCTTGTAATTTTGAGGAATGTTCCATAACTTCCATTGTTCCTACCAGTGATCAATTTGGCTGACATGTTAACAAAGTATCACTTGGGCCAAAGCATCATCACTTACTCTCCAAGTATTGAGCATATTATTTAATATATCGATCGACCAGCTTATGGAGATGTTGAGTGGATGTTTGAAGTATGGACACATATACACTCTCCATTGCAGTTTACCTTACTGAATATCGAGGCAATGTTGTAATGCTGGAGAACAAATAAACTACATCATTTTGGTTACGGTTGGTTGTATTAAAAAAAAAAATTGCTGTTACTCTAATACTCTGTGGCAGTGTTATCTTTGCACAGACAATATATCGACTAATAATTATACATGTAGGTGACTAGATGAACATACAGCCATACAGGAACAGGATGGTATCATTGGTGTTATGCTATATGATTAAATCATCAGAATTTGAGTTTGATTAAATTTGGTCAGGTCGGTTTTAAAGTAGTATGAGTAATATACTTATATGTTGGTTTATTTTTGGATATCAAGTGGGTTAGGTCTAGGGGAAGATCCTGCTGATGTTTTTTTCCTGGTTAAGGCATTGAGATATGATGTAGGAGTTCTCAGTCTCTCATCTGCTCTTGTGATATTTCCTCCTTCGTTTTCCCAATAGTTTATTTATCGTTGTTCTTTATATGCAATTGAATAGGTGCATCAAGTGTTCAAGGCTTCCGTGTTTTTTCTTACAAGGAGCTTAAGACTGCCACCGGTGGCTTCAAGTCTTCAAATAAAGTAGGAGAAGGCAGCTTTGGCTCTGTCTACAAGGTAGCAATTAATTAATTATTTGACTGAGATAGCTAGTGAGGTAGAAATTAGTCTTGTTGATTAGCTGCTGAAGAGGAAATAAATCTTGTTGATTAGATTAACCCATTCTTTTTATTGGATATTTTAAGGGATACCTCAAAGATGGATCAACCGTGGCAGTCAAAGTACTTTCAGTTGAACTCGAGTCACTGCAAGGAGAACGAGAATTTATATCTGAAATCACAGCATTATCTAACATCAAACATGAAAATCTTATCACTCTTAAAGGATGCTGCATATCTGCTGCCAACAGATTTTTGATCTATGACTACATGGAAAACAACAGCATGGCACTGGCCTTCCTAGGTAATGAAGGAGTCCGTTTATTCTGTAAATTTGATAATTACTTTCTTTCTAATTTCGTGATCATGGAAAATACAGGAGGATATGAAAGCAGAAAAAAGTTTAGTTGGAAAATGAGAAGGGACATTTCATTAGGAATAGCACGAGGCCTTGCCTTTCTCCACGAGGAAATTGAGCCTCACATTGTGCACCGTGACATCAAACCTGCCAACATACTTTTGGATAAGAATTTCATGCCAAAGATTGCAGATTTCGGTCTGGCAAAGCTATTTTTGGACAATACATCTCATGTGAGCACTCGTGTGGCAGGCACATTGTAAGTGAAATCCTGTACAATTTATTTCTTCCATTTTGTCTCTGGTTGCTGTTAATTTTGATTATCTTTCTTCAAATGTCAAATTTTGGAAGGGGGTATCTTGCTCCAGAATATGCAATTTCTGGTCATTTGACAAGGAAATCAGATGTGTATAGTTATGGGATACTGCTGTTGCATATTGTTAGCGGACACAAAGTTGTAGAATTCAACTTAGAGCAAGGAGATGCATACTTAGTTGACAAGGTAATGCATTACTATTGTCCAACTTTCCATCCAATAAAACTGAAATAAATGAGATGTTTAATAGTATTGCATATACAAAAATCCATGAGTTAGGTTTGGAAGGAGTACAAATCAGACAACCTTCAACATTTAGTGGACCCGTCACTCAATCGAGAGTACCCTGAAGATGAAGCTACCGAACTGCTAAAAATTGGCCTGCTTTGTGTGCAAGAGACAGCCACACTTCGGCCTCAAATGTCAGCAGTTGTGAAAATGATAGCAGATGGTAAAAGTAGGGCAGATGTTTCAATATCCAAACCCGGTCATCTTCCTGATCTCATGCAGCTTAAGATAGGCCAAAATCATTCCCTAGATAGTACTGCTTTTAGCAAAAGCTCTACGTCTCTTAGCAGTTAGCACCCGTACAGCAATTGACCTCTGTGATATATACTTTAATTAGTGTGAATTTTGTATCTGTTTGGCTGGAGATTGTTCCTTCAACTAATAGCATATAACTGATGATTTTTTAATTTTTTTAGAAAATAAAAGTAATGTATATGGTTTTGTACTTCCCTTCTGACCGTTATCCCTGAGACAATACGAGCTTAGCACAATACCAAACATATCATACAGGTAGAGAAACAGATTTAAATTCAATAGCCAATTGCATCATGCAGGTGAATTTACCACGTTATCACTGTAGAAATAACTGAAATAAGAGAGATCACAACTAAGAAGGGGTGGGGGAATTTCAAAAGGATAGAGTTCCGACATGCTTGGCTCCCTGTACGCCATATGAAAAGGCCACCCTATCCAGGGTGGAACTTGCAGATGGCATACAGGGAGCCAGGCATATTATACTGACCTTACACGACGTTACTTCTCTGCTTTGGGATCGTACTGATTTTGTATTCCTGCCTTTATGAGCTGCAGCAGGATATTCTTACAGAGGAGGAACAGAAAAGTCCTTAATGAAAATAGTACTTCTTACAGATTTTTTCGAACTCTCACATTCCTCTAATTGTGTGTCTATGCTATCATCATTTAAAGGTGAAATAAACTCCTCATTTCATGCTTTCGCTTCCTCGTTTTTAGCCTTTTCTCTTGAGCCAGTTTAAAAGGGGTGAAACAGAAAGCATGTTAGAAGTTGATCACATGAAACATTGTTAAGAAAACCTTAACTAAAGTGTGACAGATTTAGTATTAACACTTGCTGTTATAACAATGAAACTGAAAAAGTTATTGAGGATCAGTCAAAAAAGGCGTTTAGCAGAATTAGAGGCTCATGGAATGATTGGCTAGAGTATGTTGGGCGGCGTTAAAGTTAACAGAGGAAAGAGTGTTTATAGTAAGGTTAGATGAACGTCAATCATGGAAAACAATCATAATTTTGGTCAATATGACAAAGCTTAAAGGTAAAAGTTAGGTGTATGATAGGAGCTGAAAAATCTAAGCTCCCTAAGAAGACGGTGTATTTGATTCAGATTACTCTGTCGGCTTGGACACACAGACGGACACATACTGCCCGTCGACTTGTCTTGTGTGCATCAGGTCTACAATAATTATTAATATGTATTTGTGCGCCGTATTAGAGTTGCTCTTTTTTCATTCAAATGTCCATTTTAGTCAAAGTTACTAAGAAAATTACTTGCTAGCAAAATACTCGTAAATAACTTATGCAATTCACAACAAAATGTTGGGTGCACCAGAAATTTTGTTGAGGACCATTAGAGAGCTAGATTATTTATGAGTTGTCATTTCCTAAGGCCTCATTCTTTTCAAACTAGGACTTTTATTTTCTAATATGTATTGGTACTCCATGAATCAGTCAACTATTTAATCCACAATAACGTCTGTTTGGGTACTAAAATGGTCATACCCATTTTAGTCTTGGGTAACTCTACCCATATAAGCCCAAAGGGCATAAAAAAGGTATAAAAGACCCCAAATAAGTCAAATACATCAATATGGCCTTCAACGGCCCACATATGTAATTTTAGGGCTCATAAACCCACTTATGTACTCATATAAATACCCCTCAAAGGGCATAAGGTAAAGGGAGGTCACTCTTATCATCTAAGATGACCATACTCCTCTACTCTCTCCCCTAAACTCCTCTCAAAATATGCATTGTTTGGCAACTAACTTGGGCGTCGGAGGCTCCGCCCCGGGTTCAACCCCCGGGGCTCGGGGTTCATTTTGTAGGTCCATTCAAGGCCCAAATTCGAGGTTCTCAGACACCCCTCCAAGGCCCGGTTAGCTCATTTTTTGCCGAAATAACGTCTAAACATAATATCAAACATTCTCAAAAATATCGTTAACTTTGACCATTATATCAATGTTTAAATTCATAATGAATTGTTAGTCTTGCCACACTTTTCCATCCGGCTTCGTCCGATTTACTTGTAGAGTATTGAATACGTCCCCAGTCTATAATACAATAATTGTTGCATTTGAACTTTGGTTAGCAAGATGGTATGAGTTTGGAAATTGATTCATACCACATGTTTGTTAGCCAAGCAATGCATATCAAGGGCGTTTTGGTAAATTTGCACCCAAGGTAATTGGCAGAGCTTTCAAGGTGGGTAAATGTTTAACATTCTACCTTTTTTATTATTTTATTGTTGCTGACAACTAAGTGAGCAAAAGTAGAAAAATTAAAGCCGTTGTGTGATTCAATGATTACATACCCATTAACTTTTTCGGCTTTCAACTTGATGTCCTTGTTTATTTGCTTGATTTCTCTCCTAGCCTAGTCAATGGAATTTGTTAGGATTTCTACTTTTATGTTACCAAGCCTGGCAATACTAAGGTGTCATGGTTCAAGTGCTTTGATGCCAGATTCGTGCTGCACGCTCTCGTCTATGACGATGAGGGCACTAGTCAAGTGCGGAAGGGGCTTGCAACCACGAAGTAACACGAAAAAAAATGAGTTTGACAGACACTCTTGCCAATAGGCCATAAGAGTAAAGTCAAGGGTCGATCAAGGCTTGTGACGGTGAAGCGAGTCAAGGCGTGCACAAGTTGGTCTGATATATATGATGAAAAACTATATGAGTATCTTGTTTAAGGGTCTCTAGCTATTTATCAGCTTTCGATGCTTTATAACATGTGATGGCACGATATTCATACACGCAATAAGTAGCAAGCAACAAGCAACATTTTTTGTAATAATCACTTCTAAGGGGTAAGGGGCTAAGATATAGCTAAACAATTGCCCCCAAAAGAGGTTCTTTTTGGAATTGCAACATTTTCCTGTTAATATTGTGCTGACAAAAACATAATAGTCTCTTCTAAAGTTTAGAAAACTTAAGCAAATGACCTAGAAAGCTTCCTTATATACAAATGGAGTCGATTCTAACATCTTCACCCAATTAATCAAGTCATTATTGGTGACTTTGTCGACTTGCAAGCATTACAATATACAAATGAGAATTTTCCTGTCTTGAATGTCATCATCGTCTATGGAGTGCCATTATTTAGAGGCGATTGCTAAGTCTTGTTGTTTTCGTTGCAACTGTCATCGCTTAAGCTTGATTCTTCTTGATTGCTGGCGAACGAGCTTCATTATATTCTTCAATGCTTCTATATGCTTTTGGTAGAGAAGAAACTTCTCTTAGTATCTAAAGTTAAGCTTCAAACAAACATTAATGCTTCTTTCCAAACTAGTAACATTCTTCTAGGAATCAACTTTAGCTTGGCTTTCGTTATTTCTTCTTCTTCTTCTTCTTCTTGTGCTGATGAGCTCATTACAGCATGTTTAGAACGACCATTATTGTTCTTTCTTCTGTTGAGAGGGTGGATCTCACGATGTTGCCTTGTTCTTCAATTCAGCTCATTGCTTGCATTTATAGTTGTTTCTTCAATGTCGCCTTTTCTTGTAACCAGTGGAGGATCTTGAAAAAATTTCTTATAGGGACCGATTAAAACTAAATATGTGACACATATATAATAGTACACAACTAAATCACGAAAGTAATGAAAAAAATTACGAAAGTAATGAAAGAAAATGAGAAAAATGCTAAATTTATTACAATGAGTTAAGCCAAATTCTAAGCAAAAACCCTTAAAATAACAAGTGTCACAATCTCATTCTTAAACAAACAATTAAATTCTGTAGTATGTATAAAGCATTACATCGTAAAACTTATCTGTTAGTATTTGATAAAAGAGAAAATCTTTTGATACAAAAGTATTGTTCATAGCTTCCCAAGAAGCTCAATTGCCAAAATGATGATAAAATCTTGTAACTTGCAAATCTCACATTTGCTACCACCTACGATTCATATAAGAATAAAGCAATATTTAAAGGAAACTAGGTAGGTATTACCGTATTAGACTCCTAGGCTATAAAAGCATGGTAGAATTGTTGATATATGGAAAGCTCCATAAAGTTGGGCTACATGTGTTTCTTTCTGCTGGGCTTGTTTAACACGTACCCTAATTCTTTTTTGCGCTTGTACCAGGGGTCGGGCCCCAAATGCCCCCCTTAATGGTCTGCCACTACTTAAAGCTCTAGACTATAAGAGGTATTGACATTTTCCTTTTACTTATTTGGGAGTATTAACCATCTACTACAAGCAAAAACATTCTTGTGAGACTTTGCGATTGCTTTATTAACACGGAGAAATCTATGAGTAATAGGTTGAAGTTGCCATGTGAACAATAGTGAAGTTCAATCATCCTTCCATTCTCCCAACTTTGTGTGCACTTCTCTCTTGTCACCCCCTATATTAACATATAGCTTTGGAGTGACAAACTTCATCATACCGCCTTTTTTCTTGGGTGTCAACACGAGTCCTTTAAATTAAGCGACACTAAAGAAGTTATGAGTGGCATCGCAGTCCATCATGGCAAGGCCTTCCTCTCATTCATTATGAGGTCCACGTACATCAGATTCGTGGAGATCAGCTTTATCTCTAGGCCCTCTTTTCCCATTACTTACATTGCTATGCACTTGAAAGATTAGAGATCGACTACCTTTTAAATTGAAGTTGATGTATGCGTTTTATACCATGTTTTACCCCGTTTTTATAGCGTATATTTGCATGGTTTTGGGTTCTACGGAGCCATTTCTCGCTAAAAATCTCTTCTTTAGTGTGTTCGATATATTTTAATGAGTTTCACAGGAATACGGAGGTTTTTTGGATGAATTGGACTTGTTTTGGATGGTTATAGAAGAGGTTGTTGAGTGAAAGATGAAGATTTCCCCAATGCCCTACCAAATACCCCATGTCGTGGCTGCTAGGGCGAAGGAAGGAAGAGCTAACTACGAAGAATCATCATAGATCCCATATGCCCTGGCTGACCGGGTAGTGAGGAGTGCTATTTATAGAGTTTCGTTCTTGAAGTTGTTACGCGCGCCCGACCGGGCACTACATGCCCTGGCTGACCGGGCAGAAGAAGAAGAACGCAAGAAGAAGGAAATTACTTCGTCCGCCCGATCGGGCAGTCCATGCCCGGGCAGACCGGGCGACGTTGCGTGGAACTCGTCTTTAATTAGTTTCGGATTTCTATCTTTTGAGGGGTATAATTACCCGTTGTAATCATAGTTAGAGGATAGCTTATTATAT